CTTTGATATTGCTGTTGCAGCACCAGAAGCTGAACAGCACTGACCCTGTCTCTTATAAATTTTATGAGTTTGTTTACTATGCAGGGCCCAAATGTCAGGGCTAAGAGTAAGATTACCAGTGGTCTTACAAGCGCGGAAATTAGGGTAGTCAGCCAGGGGGAACTATTGAACCAGGACTCAAACTAACCTGTTTGTTTTTCGTACTCTCGTTTGCGCCGAGCAAGCCCTTTTCTTACTTTGGCCATGGACTCTTTTACCACCCCTGTGTGGTCGGCATAGAAACAGCATTCTTCTCGGAGGGCCGCACATAGCCCTCCCTGTTGCAGGAACACCAAGTCTAACCCTTTTTAGTTTTGCAAAACTACTTTTGAGAGGGAGGTTAAAGACTTTTTAAAGTGGGAGATGGACTCTTTAATCTTGGCGATATTTTCATTGATAGCCGCCCTGAGGGAGTTAAATCTCTTTTGTTGCATGGCTAGGGAGGAGATGCCAGTTCTCGCCCTTATTGCCCCTAGACTAAATAGGGTAGCCAGAGTGATGGCAGTAATGGGCTCTCTTTTTTTATGGAAAATTAGGTTAGCAGCTCTTTGCCCTATTACACCCTCATACATTTTTGTAGTGAGGTCTAATCTCTAGGTGCCACAGCCCCGAGTCTGAGTCTAGACAGTATAACTAGTAGTTTAAGAGGAATAGGACTCAGCTGGCTTCTCGTGGCGCTGCTGCTACTTGAGTCAGCTTGACTTTTAGTGGGTTCTCTGGGTCTACCGTCGCTTTTTACTGGCTCTGGCACCGTTTTAGGTCGTTCTCGTTGGCTGGCCTCACGTGGGAGTGGTGTATCTAAGTTGATATGCCGTCTACCTTGAGAGCAGTGGGGGTAACAAGAATAATTTGAAAGGGCCCCTTCCACCTAGGCTCTAGGGTTTTACTGTTATGCCTCTTCACCCACACCCAGTCTCTAGGTTGGTGAGGATGATGCAAATGTCTGGCACTCTTCTCTTCGGGCTCTGCGGCGCGGTGTATGGCCTGAAGGGCAGGCCATACTTGGCTGTGAACGCGCTGCAGAGCTCGAACGGCTTGCAACACGTCTTTGGGGTGTCTTGGGAGGGCCTCAGGGCTTACCCTGGGGACCACGGGCGGAGGAGTGCCATACATGATTTTAAAGGGGGTTAAGCCTAAATGATAGGGGGTGTTCCGGGCTCGGAACAGGGCGAAGGGAAGGAGGGTCACCCAGTCCCTGCCAGTCTCTAGGGCTAATTTAGTCAGGGTCTCTTTTATTGTTCTGTTCATTCTCTCTACCTGCCCTGAACTCTGGGGGTTATAGGCACAATGTAGCTTTTAATTGGTCTTTAGAGCCTGGGCCAGTCTCTGACTGACTTGGCTGACAAAAGCAGGTCCATTGTCTGATCCTATTCCCTCTGGCAGTCCATATTTAGGGACTATTTCTTTTAATATTTTCTTGGCTACCGTCAGAGCAGTTTCTTTTTTAGTGGGGAAAGCCTCTACCCACCCGGAGAACGTATCCAGCATAACTAGCAGATACCGGTATCTATACTTTCTAGGTTTGACTTTTGTAAAATCTATTTTCTAGAACAGTCCTGGCTGCCTCCCTCTTTCCTTTGTACCTGCATGGGTCCCTTTGACCCTCTCTGGCTGCATGACTTGGCAGGCTCGGCAGTCCTGGACGATGTCGTCTGCCACTCGTCCCTGCGACATGAACCTGAGCTGGGCGGTGTTTAACAGTTGTAACATTTTTCTCTTTCCTAAATGTGTGGTCTGGTGTAGGTGTGTCAACAGGTGACGTCTCAGAGTCTCTGGCACTATTAGGCGGCGTTCTTTGTCTCGCAGCCAGCCATCTTTACCTTTTTCTGCAGTTAGTCGTTTTGCAGCCCAGGCTTCGTCTGCACTGGAGTAGTCTGGCAGGGGAGGTATCTGTCCCATGCCCGGGGGCGGAAGGCTGATGTGTAGGATATTTGGTGGCGTAGCACCCCCCGCCGCTTTTTTAGCCTCGGCATCTGCCCATCGGTTGCCCCTAGCCTCTACTGAGTCTCTACCCTGGTGTCCCGGGGTGTGGACTACCGCTACTGCCTTTGGCAGCAGGACAGCCTCTAGCAAGCGGAGGATTTCGGGCTTATGCTTGATCTCCTTCTCTTCTGCTGTGATGAACCCTCTCTCCCTGTAGAGAGCTCCGTGTATGTGCACAGTCTCAAAAGCATAACGGCTGTCAGTGTATACCGTCAGTCTCTTTTCTTGGGCCCGGCAAAGGGCCTCTGTCAGCGCTATTAACTCTGCCTTTTGAGCAGATGTCCCCTGTGGGAGGCATGCCGCCCAGACTAGTTTGCCCTGGTCATCGACTATGGCCGCCCCTGCGTACCTGTGTCCGTCCCGGACGAAACTGCTCCCATCTGTGAACCAGATCAGGTCGCTGCTTGGAAGGGGGCGGTCTTTTAAGTCTTTTCGGGCCATCTGGGTTTTAGCCAGGATTTCAAGGCAGTTGTGCTCAGGTGCAGCTGAGTCGGGGATGGGCAGGAGCGTGGCTGGATTTAAGGCGGTGGGGGCCCGGAACTCGATGCGGGGAGCGTCCAGCAGGAGTCCTTGGTAGTGGGTCAGCCTTGCATTTGTAATCCATCGTCCCGGAGGCTGCTTTAAAACCCCTTCTATAGCGTGCGGGGTAGTGATGAGCAGCCGCTGCCCTAAAGTAAGCTTATCAGCGTCTTTGACTATCAGAGCTGTGGCTGCGATCATTCGCAAGCATGCTGGCCACCCTGCCGCCACTGGATCCAGTTTCTTTGATAGGTATGCCACAGGCCTTTTCCAGGGCCCTAGGGTTTGCATAAGCACCCCCTTAGCTATCCCCGATTTTTCATCTATATAAAGGTGGAATTCTTTGGTAGGATCTGGGAGCGTTAAGGCAGGGGCCTCTAGCATGGCTGCCTTCAGGGCCTGAAAAGCATCCGCCATCTGCTCAGTCCATTTCCATGCCAGCCCCGCCTTACACCCTTCATACAAAGGTCAGGCCTTCTCTGCGAATCCCGGAATCCAGAGGCGGCAGTAGCCTACCGACCCCAGGAATTCTCTTAGCTCCCGGCTAGAAGTTGGGGTAGGTATTCTTAACACGGTTTGCTTTATTGCCTCAGTTAGCCACCTTTGGCCCCCTTTTATCTTATAGCCCAAATAGGTGACTTTATCCTTATAAATCTGGGCCTTTTTTGCACTGGCCTGGTACCCCAGTTTGCCTAGTACCCTAAGCAAGTCCTTGGTGCTTTCTAGGCAAGTCCAGGGATCGGGGGCGGCTAACAACAAGTCATCTATGTATTGCAGCAGAGTTACCTTTGGATGGTTGGCTCGGTACTCACTCAGGTCATCTTGGAGGGCCTCGTTGAACAGAGTAGGCGAGTTCTTGAATCCCTGGGGCAGTCTCGTCTATGCCAACTGTCCGTGGATCCCTCTCTTTTTATCCTGCCACTCAAAGGCGAAGATCTCCTGGCAGCGTGTCACTATCGCCAGACTGAAGAAGGCATCTTTCAAGTCTAGGACAGTGTACCACGACAAAGTAGGGGAGAGAGAGCTCAACAGGGTGTAGGGGTTTGGAACAGTAGGGTGGATGTCTAAGGTCCTCACATTGACCTCCCTAAGATCCTGCACGGGCCTATAGTCCTGTCCCCCCGGTTTCTTTACTGGCAATAGGGGTGTATTTTACGCCGACTGGCATTTCCGGAGAACCCCACTGTCCAGAAGTCTCTGAATGTGGGGCGTTATCCCCATTCTGGCCTCTTGGGACATAGGATATTGCTTGACTCTGGCCGGCTCGGCTCCGGGCTTTAATTTAATGTAAAGAGGCGGCCTGTGCTTGGCCCACCCCGTTCCCCCTACTCATCTGCTTGGCCCGCCATCAGGATCCTTTCGGACCCTCTCAACTCTCGTCCCCCTTTCTTCCGGGGACATTCTCGTGCCCAGTGCCCATGCTCTTTGCAGTTGGCACACTGGTTCCTGTCAAGCCTTTCTCGCCGAGGTTTGTCCCTGTTTTCTGGTCTCACTTGTCGCCCTCCGCCAGCTGCAGCTAGCAAAATTTTTGCCATTTCTCTATTTGCCTTCCTCGCCTCTTTGGCCTGGAACTTCCTATCTTCTCTTCTCATCTTCTTTACCCTTTTTTCTGGTGTCTCTCTATTATTGTATACCTTCTCTGCCACCTTTAAAAGGTCCTGCAACGTCTTTTCTCCTAATCTATCAATCTTCTGTACCTTACGTCTAATGTCAGGGGCCGCTTGATTGACGAACGCCATCATAACTGCAGCCTTATTTTTTTCTAATGTGGGATCTATGGGGGTGTACTGTTGAAAAGCCTCTATAATCCTTTCTAAATATGCTGCCGGGCTCTCTTGGGGCCCCTGACGGATGTCTCCTACCTTAGCCAAATTGGTCGGCTTTCGTGCCGCCATGCGGAGACCGGCCATCAGAGTCTGGCGGTAGACTCGGAGACGCTCTCTACCTTCAGCCTCATCGTAGTCTTACAGTGGTCGTTCGAGGGGGAAGGTTAGATTAATGGTTCTCGGGTTTGTAGTAGGCCTGCCGTCTTCTCCCGGAACCAGTTTCCTTGCTTCCCCCTGAATTCTTTCCCTTTCCTCTGTGGTGAAAAGCACCTGGAGCAGCTGCTGGCAGTCATCCCAGGTAGGCTGGTGTGTAAAAAGAACAGAGTCTAAAAGGTTAATAAGGTCCCTGGGGTTATCAGAAAAGTTTGAGTTTTGAGATTTCCAGTTGTACAGGTCACTGGTGGAGAAAGGCCAATATTGATAAGTCTGCGTCCCATCGTCTCCCCGGGGCCCTACTGCCCGTAGGGGAAATGCCTTCACGGGCTCCGGGTCTGGAGTCCGACCTGTGCGTTGCCTAGTGCCATAGGCCGGTCCTCCCTCCCCTCCAGTGGCATCCCGCTGGGGCGCAGGCACCTCGGGGGCTGCTGGGGCCGCGAGTGCTGCTCTGGGATTATAAGGGGGAGGGGCATTCCATTCAAGCCCGGTCAGGTCAGGGTAGAGGTTAGAGTCTGGGAGAACCTTGGCGGGTGACGAACCTGGCTTCCCCTTCTTCCCAGCCTCTTG